AAGGAATGTTATTTTTCTGAAAAATCTATGCAGTGATTCCAGAAATCTTCAAAAGTACTAACAAACATCACGATAGATAACTTAAGAGAGACACTCTTTTACTTTTGTCTAATTTCCCCCCCACTATTTCTCCTCCTGACAAATATGGTTATTTAAAATTCTGGCCAATTACTAGTAAGACAAAATGAAATTCTGCATTTCCCCCTTCATATTAATAAGACACTGACATCTGGGGAAACATATTTCCTGGACAGATATATGCATGGAAGAAAGACTCTCTTCACCATTTGGTCCTTTTTTTTAATCCTAATACTCGTAAGATGTTTAAAATGGGGTTGAGGGGTGGCATGTCTTCCTCTATATGGACATCAGGACAGGCAGACTGAGGAACATGTGGTGAAGTGTGTGCAACATCATTGAGGAAAGCTAGATTCTAAGGCTTTCTTTGGCCTCCTGACTTCCCCTAACTGGGCCCAAATGGTGTGCAGATAGCCTGCCATCTATGTTTTTGGTGTCAAGACATTCGAGCCTGATCATCAGGGTGGAGGTAGGGTATGGGCTGGCCTTGGAGGGCCAGTGAGAGTGTGGGGAGACCTGTCAAGCCCAGCAGGTCCCCAAACAGCACGTCTGTTGTGGAGGAAGTTCCAACAGGCCTCGGCTTAAGGCAGCAGGGATTCTTCCTCACTTCTTCCAGTTTCTGAATAACTACTCTGCTCTTGGCTTTTGCTACCTCTCAGCCTCCTTATTCACATTCACCAAGACATTAGATTTTGTGTTCCCAGATAGCCACACCATGGGCCAAGCACAGAGTGGGTCCTCAATGTCTGGTCGTTCAGTAACCAGTCATTGAGATTACTGGATGTTTTGAATATCTTGCTTTGTATGTAATAAACATCATCATATGCATAATTCTGATGGTAACATTTCTCATTTGTCCACTCACTCACATGCATCTGGAACAGCCCCTACAGGATGGGAGTCAGGCCTGGTACCAAGGTCACAACCACACAGGTGCCACAGCGCAGCTCTGCCCTCGGGGTTGAGACAGCCACAGCTGCCTTTGGCCTAGTCTGACTCTAGCCTGTCTCCCTCACCCAGCTCAGTGATGCAGGAAGAGAAGATACATTTCAAAGGATTATTCAATTAAAAAGAAAACACCTATAGGCAGCCAATTTGCTTTTTTGTTGACAATAAACTATAAACTTTGCTGAGAGTCAAAAGCAGAAATTAAAACCTGCCATGAAGGCCACTTCACCTAGGGGCCTGGGGCCCAGGTATGAGGGAGGAGAGGCTTCAGGGTCACATCCAAGGTCAAGGGCAAAGCTGACAACCCAGCGAGAGCTCCAGAGTGAAGGGGTTCAGGGAATTAGAACCAGATGGGCAGGGGATGAGGCTGGGGGCCCGTCTACTTTTATCAGTCACTTTCTTGAGGCTGATGTTGAGTCTTTCAGCTCTAAGGACAGGCAGGCCTTGCAAAGTGAACACCCATTTCATTCCAGCTTTGAAATCTCATGCAGTGAGGATGCCAGATATTACTTTTACTTTTAAACAAATGTCCATCATCTAGAAACTACACAAATGAAATTTGATTTTTCTTGGCCATTACCTAACCTTTGATTTCCATTGGAAAGGAAAAAGAAAATTGCTTTAATATATTTCTGAAATATTACTCTATGGGAATAACAGCAGGAGGTGTTTTCCTAGAATTTAGAATATGAATGTGACCTGCTGCTTGAAGGAAACAAATCTTCCAGTAACACCTATGGGAACAGGAGACTAGGTTTGAAGAAGAGAAACAGAAAAAGAGGCAGATCACTTGTGCTCCATTATCACGGGTTTGAAAGTTCTAGGCACTGCTTCAGGAAGTGAAAACATTTACCTCTAACTTCTCTTTTTTTCCTCTCCTTCCTCCTGCCACGTTTTCCTTCCCTCCTTCTTCCCTGCCCCACAATGCCTGCCTCTAACTCCCTTTCTTCTTTCCTAGAAGGAGCCTACTATTTGGTTTAATTCACTTGCATCTTTGAAAAGAGCAGCAGGCCTTCTTGACTTTTTTCCTGCTTCCTTTCTTAAGATTCAAAGGCAGCCACGATATAATGTAATTCGACAAAAGAAAAATATAGTGCCATTCCCTTTAGCACAAGGCATGCTTTTTTGGTGATTTTCAAAATAGAGTCTTGCAAAACTGGTGCGAGGGGTGTCTTGAGGGGTATCTGTTGAGGATAATGATGGTGACGTTCCTCAGAGGTGAACTCATTTCCGTTACTCATTTAAAAAACACATGTTCTGTTTGTCTTTTCACACTCGTCACAATGAGATTTAAAATAGAGACTCATCGTCACCTATTTAAGGGTTATGAATAGCACCGCCTTGAAAAGGCCTGGTGGAAATTTGGATAGAAATTTAAAGTGACGCATCACATTCAGAAGTTGTCAGGCAGAAACAAAGGCCTAAGTTGGAGGCCAACTTAAGTGATCACTCATGCCGCACAATGAGATGCCCTTCTCCACCGCACCAACAGTCGTATGACAGGCATCAGCCAACTCCAGGTGGAAACATAAAGCAGAAGCTCCAAGTTTGGCAGGACCACCTCAAAAAAAAAAGGCACAGCCATCTAGAGGCCATCTTAGCATCACGGTAGAGGATCATTGGTGCCATTCTCTTGTCTCTGTATACCTGCCACTTGTGGCCTTGCAGTCCCTACTGCTAGGGGCGGAGGGCCTTCTCCACCCCTTAATGTGAGTTTGGCCATGTAACTTACTTCAGCTGTTGCAAGGTCTGTGAAAGTGAAACTTGCTTCAGCTGTTGCAAGGTCTGTGAAAGTGACTTTGTGCCACCTCCAACCTGAGGACTTAAGACATTTTGTAGACAGCGTCTTGTCCGCACCACGAGAGGAATATGACATGGCCCAGGGAAGGTGGTAAAGGATACAGAAGATGCAATAACTGAGCTGAATCTGGACCAGCCAGACTCCAGCTTACCTGAAGATGCCTGACTTAGTGTAAAAGAAAGTTCTTGAAACAATGGAATTTTAGAAGAGTTGCACAACATTATTGTTGAAATTTATGATGGACATGCGCACTGTTCTGAAATGGGGCCTATTTGAAGGAAGAACATGAAAATAGTGACTTAAAAATTGGAATGTGGGGAGATGATGGCTTTCTGGTGTTCCATGGTCACAAGAGGGGTGACATTGATCCCCCTTTTGACTACTCCACTCTTGACTGGGTCTTGGCTAAGAGGGGAGGGACTATAGAAACCTGCCTCCCTGGACTCATAGGGAACCATGGATTGTTGATTGTCCAAGTTCAATAGTGACACACATTGTCCTCTTGGAGAACCAACAGACATTCAAAGTCTCACTTCAAAAAATAACAGATAATTTAATCAGAAAGGATCTGTCTGCCATGTTCATGTTTGATCATTAATTATTTCCTAACCCATCTGACTTCACTTCATTGCTCAAAAGGAGCCATAAATCATTCTGCCTCACAGAAGTTAAACTATTTGCTACTCACAAGGCGATCCATTCAATTGCATGTCAAGTGTATCAGCTAAAAAGGTTAATTCTTACTGAAGTTTGCCTTTTCACTTCAACTCTCCCTTTGGAAGCCACATATGACAAATCTCTCGACTCTTCCAACATGGCACAGCTGTCTTTTCCATGCCAAACTCCCAGAGCTCCCTCACCATTTTATTTTGATACACCCCTTATTCTGATCACACTCATTTTAGACACCCACTAGCTTGACCATATCCTTCTTAGAATATGAAATGGAGGATAAGAGACAATACTTAAGGTATATGCAAAGCACTGCTGACTATTTGAGGGGCTAATTACTTCTTGCTACCTGGACATTATGATTTCAGTTATTTATGCCTTGTCGTGTGTGTGTGTGTGTGTGTATACATATACATATATTTATTTCCCTTTAAGCTAAAATTGGTTTATTCTCTGAATACCTTTCTCTGCTTTAGGAGAGTGATGATTACTTTTTCCTTTACTACTCATGATAGTACTACCATCACTAGAGCTTCCCTTTACTGAGATCCTGCTTCCCCTCTGCCAGTTCACTGTTCCACAGGGAGCCTATGCATGGTATTATCATCTCTACGTGCACTGATGACACAGCTTCAGAGAAGGTCAGTCACTGTCTTGTAGGTCACACGGCTGCCCAGAACTCAAATCCAGGTCATTTGATTCCTTTCAGCCATCCTCATTCCCTCATCCCATTCTATCAGGGACAGAAAAGGACTAATTATGTCACAGGAATAACCAGGAGCAAAATATGAGTCAATATTCTTCCCATGCTGTGTCCCAAACAGAAAAGGAGCTCTTTACCCAGTTGGATGCAAAACGGCCTTTCACCACGTGACGTTACTAAGCCATCAGTGGATTATAACTGCATGACTGGCATCACAACCAAGGTCTGATATGGCCATGGGGAGACCACAGAAGCCCTGTCCATATATCTTCTACTGTGTGTGCATGCACAGAACAAGGTCCACATCTTCTGATTCCATGCCTCTCCATGAGGGCCCCTACTCCCAGAATCACCCCTCCCATAGCTCATCCTCTGTCATCCCCCTTTAATTCATTAAGTTATCGACCTGATCCTGGGCAGACCCCTGTGCTCACGGCAGGTCCTCCTGCAGAACTGAGCTCCCACTTGCCCAGCGTCTTGGTGGCCACCCACTGACTCCCTCTTTGCTAGGCTCTTGCCTGAAATGAACTGCTTTGCTCATGACCCTGTCCCCTCTCTGCGGCTTCCCAAATACAGACCTGAGCTGCGGGACTACAGAGACCCAGACCTCCAGCCTCTGGGCCAGTTAACGGAAGGGACATTGGAGCTCCCTGGGGAAGGGCAAGCAACTTTGCCACAACTGTGTCAGAACTAGCTCCTGCTTCTTGTACCTTTTCACAAATGTCATTCCTCAAACACCTGTGGGTAGTTTGTGGGTGGGGACCCAGGGCTTAGAGAAAGGGGCCGGGAAGACCTTACCTACGATCATGTGGTTGCAGACGTCACAGAAGGTGGGCTTCTTGAAGATGTGCTCCTGAAAGGCATGGGCCTTGCCGCTGCTGCCTGGGTGCAGGTTGGCCCTAGTGGGTGTGGACGTCAGGCTTCCAGGGGCCGGGAGCGGGCTGAAGCTGGGGCTGACCTCAGCCAGCGTGTCTGCTTGCAGCTTCGCATCGCTGTTAGTTCGCTGGAAGAAGTTGTCAGCACTTTTGCTCCGTAAACTCTTGGTCTTGAAAGAAAGTGATCGTTTTAGTTTCTGGAGCTGCAATGCAATGACAGAACAGACTCTCTTACTCAATTGTGCTCGCTCATGCTGTGGGGGTGAGGTCTGCTCCAGGCAGGGTGCCTGTTCCCACTGACACCCTCAGAGCTGAAGAGGCGCACATATGTCCCTGTGTGGGTGGCTGATGTCAGTGTCTAGAGGGATTCACAGTCCCCAGTCCACACCCTGCCATGCAGACCACACAGAGACCCCCTCGCCTTTCCTTCTGCTTCTTCTCCTTTTGCCTGCCTCTTGACACCCAGCCGATGTGCTGGCAGGTGGACTTACAATATTCAGGTTTTAATACTGTTTGTCTTTTGCATGTGGATAACTGGAAGTATTAGTTGTATGAACTTTTGGCTCAAAGAACCAGTCTGCATAGCCTGGCACCCTGCTGCTTACTTAGCAGTCATTCAGCTTCACACACAGCAAAGCAAGAGGCCTCTGTTTCTACATTTCCTATGGAATCAATTTGGCTAAACTATCCAGAGGAGTGTGTGAGTGTGTGTGTGTGTGTGTGTGTGTGTAGGACACAATGTAGAATTATCCAGTTGACTTTCTCTGCTCTTCCCCTTGCAATGCCACTTGTTTTTGACTTGACAAGCTTTTTCTCCTTTGCCTTTGGGATTTGTGAAGAGGCACCAAAATGGGTTTGGCAAAGGACTGACTTTGGAAAGATCTGGACTGGCTCACTTGGGAGCTGGATGGGTCTTTTGGAAACACAATTGTGAATATGCTTAAAATCCTTCAGGGAGTTTCCTTTGTTCTTGAGTTTAAACAAAGCTAGTGATGGGTTCCTGGAATTGGCAGACTCTGGCTCCCCATGACAGTTGGCACCCCCATCTACCTTGCTCTATCTCAGCTACGAGGCTTTTAAAAAGTCTTTCATAATCACTAGCGTTTTTTCATGAGTAGCCTTTAGTGTTCAGTTTTCCTGATGAACCACCTAGGTGATTTATGAGCTGCCATAGGTTATTTCACCTTTGAGGTGGTTTCCTTTTATAAAGGGGACTCTTCCACTTGACTGGAATTAATGCTTATGACCCAAAGCAGTAGAAAACGAAGTGCTAAGATTGGTAGTCAAATAAAGGCCTCTACCAGGTGTGGTCAAATACACCAGCGCATGTGGCACGTGTTGATCTGGTCTTGTCAAATCTAATCCTCTCATCAACTCCAGACTTTCTCTCTCAGAAGACCAAGAAGATGTGGTAGTTGTTGAACTTGGGATAGATCATGCTCTGCCCTTTCCCTTTCCCATTGCCCTTTGTGATGTGACTTTGCCACTCCCACCATCATGAATTCATGACAAAGCCTGAATTCCCTCTCGCTGGGATTTTGACCAACAGAAGACAGTAGAAGCCACATTAAATCAGTTCCAAGCCCAAGATGCCTTGTCTCTGTCCTTCTTGGAAACCTGCCAAATTGCCATATAAGCAACATTGCCTGAAGGATGAAGGGAAACACACATTCCAGTCCTCCCTCCATCATTCAAGGGAGACCCTAGAAGCAAAACCATCCTGCTTTTCTGTAGGGAACAACATGTCTAGATGAGACAGAAAAAGAGTCTGCTGAATCCCAACCCACGGAATCAAGTAAAGCAAAGGATGGCTTTTGAGATATTCAGTTGTTTCTAGTGCCTTTATCCCTTCTTGATGTGTGGGGTGACTGGACTTATTTGTCTACTTGAAGTTAGCTCTGTCATGTGAAGTTAGTGCTCTTTTTAAAGAACCTTATGGGGCACAAGGAGATGAACTATAAGCAGGGCTAAATGCTTCACGAGATGATCCTTCATCTTCTCAACCATTCAACATTGCTGTATCACCCCTGAGGTAAAGGAGGCCCAGAGAGATTAAGGAATTTGCCCAAACTCAGGCAGATTATGCAACTCACGAACAGGGTCCAAATTACATCTTTTTTCCTCCAGACCCCATACTCTTCACTGTAAGTGGGTTGACAGGGGCTGAGTGAGGGGTGCTGGAAGAGAGTTATTCCACTTGGGGGATGGAAATTCTTATGGTGGTAAGGTTGGAAAAGGATGTGGATGAGAAGGCAAGTCTATATTTTAGGGAGATTATTTCCTTTATCTTATGGATTTCAATGACTTAAAGATAATAAAGATGCCTGTGTGCTTATCAAGGGGGAATAGCAGATGTTTCAGTGTGACCTCAGATGCCAGGATGGGACAAGGGCTGGGTGACGCCGGCATGTGTCCAGCCTGGTCTCTCTCCTGTGCTCATGTTCTCTCCACACTCTCCCAATCACACACGTTTTATAGAAGCTTAGTATGTTGCCAAGAAACCTGCAGCATTTTCCTTGCTGTTGGCAATATGGTTGGAAATTGGATCAGACTGTCAGAGACTGCCTCTCTCTCGAGCTGGAGAATTTGACTGGGAAGTCAATAGGACATTTTTTACTTAAGTAGACATTTTAAAAGAAATGCATACACGTGAAAGTCCCAGCAGAGAGTTCAAATGAATACTTTTCCTTCCACTTTTTGTCCCTAAAAAAGCAGAGGCCAAATGTGAACATAGAAATGTAGACATTGAAACAAGCTCCCCTAATCACAAAATGGCTGACCCTGCCATGGCCCCGTTCATTTTATTAATCATAGTGTTTGAAGATTTTTTTCAGTACCTGACCAGGAGGTAGAATCTGCTCTGTGTGCTTTATTTTATCTAAGCAATCCTAGGAGTGAGAAGTCATTCATTCATTCACTCATTCAATAACTCATTAAATGATCATTTATTGGGCGGCCACCACAATGGTGGCCTTTAGCTTCAGGGAAACAGCAACGAAGAAAGCAAAACCCTTCCCCTTAAGGTTGTAAGAGCTAATGGGTGCAGAGAGAAAATAGAAAACAAAGAGGTACTGTTAGTGTAGGCGGGGGTGAGGCCTCTGTAGGAATGACAGGGCCAGGTTTTAGAAAGTGGCAAGGAAAACTTCTCTAGAGGCGGAGCTAGAACAGAGCTGTGTAGGAAGAGCTGGCATGAGCTCTTTTGGAGATGAACAATCTGGGTAATTGGAAAACCAAGGGCAAAGGCCCTGATGAGGTAGGTATTTGAAGAACGCCAGGTGGCTGATGGGTTTGGAATACCACTGACAGGCAGGCACAGGCAGAGGGGTCCAAGACCAACTTCATGCCATGTTTGGTGGGTCACGGCGGGGCTTGGCACTTATTCTAGGGGTGATGGTGTTGAGCAGGGAAGTGACAGCTTCTGACTCTTATTTTACAAGGGTCACCATGAGGGCTGTGTGGAAATAGGCTCTAGAAAGGCAAGACAAAAGCAGCAAGACCAGATGGGAGACTTGCAGTTAACTTGGTAACTTAGGTTGTAAGAAGTGGTTGAGGGCCCTCCCTGGTGACGCAGCAGGTTAGGATGCAACACTGCCAGTTGGCTGCCACCATTTCAGTGTGAGTTCCATCCCCCATCCTGGAGGTGGCCCACATGGCGCTACAGACCTCTCCTGACTTGCCCGCTGCTCCTCTCAGCAGTGTACTTCGTTAATCTACCTGTTCTGTTCCCCACTGTCTCTGGTGAAGCCTCTCACCACCCCTGCACCTCTGGCTTGTAACCCAGTTCTGTATGAATAAATAAATCTTAAAAAAAAAAAGTGTTTGAATGTGTTCCATTTGGAAGGTGGAACCAATCAGGAAGGAGAGGTAAGTGTCAAGAAGGACCTCACAGTTTTTAGGCTCAGTATCTGGGTGCATGCAGGGCTGTTTGATGAAAGAAAGCATGTTGGTGTGGGGGAAGGTGGGGCCTTCCCTTAAATTTGGATAAATTTACTTTACAGTGCTTATTTGGTATTCCAGTGGAGTGGCCAAGTAGGTGGTTGGATACATGATTCCGGGGCTCAGGGGAGGGGGCCAGGCTGGAGTATCCACTCGGAAGTCACAGCACGCAGATGGTAGTTAAAGCCACAAGGCTAGATGAGATCACGACGAAGAAGTGAGTGCAGAAACTGCAGAGAAGTAAACTGAGGCTGGAGCCCAGGAGCACCCCGGTAGTTGGAGGTCTGAAGATTAGCGCAGATAAGCAAAGTAACAGAAAGAGAGGCTGGCGAGGGAAGAGAGCACTTCAGAGCCTGTTCTTCAAGCTAAGGGAAGGCGATGATTGAAGGGAGAGAGAAGAACCAACGGCAATAGATGAAGCTGCTACGCTAATGATGTGAGGCTTCAGGTTTTGCCTTGGCGTTTAGCAAAGGGATACCTTTGGGAACCTTAACAGGAGCAGACTAGTGAAGTGGTGGAGAGTGAAAACCTGACAATGTTTCATGACAGGATGCTGGAGCAGAGCGGGTGGAGGTGGTAAAAAAGTAAGACAGGGGATTAGTTTTGTTGCAGAAAGGCTCAGTGGAGAGAATCAGCTAAAGGAGGATAGAGCTTAATTTTGTTTTGTTTTGTTTAAATGGGACATTGTTTCAGCATGCTTTTATTTTTTTTTAAGATTTATTTATTTATTCATACATAACTGGGGTACAGGCCAGAGATGCAGAGGGTGAGAGGATTCACCAGAGACAGAGTGGGGAGCAGAACAGGCAGATCGATGAAGTACTCTGCTGAGGGGAGCAGTGGGCGGGCCAGGAGAGGTCTGCTGCAGCATATGAGTCAGTTCCCTGGCTGGGGAATTGAACTCATGCTACAGTGTTTGGGGATAGCTTGATAGTGGACGCACAAGCATTCTATCCTTGATGCCTGCACGTGATCTACATCTTTGATTTTAAGATGAACATATTTTTTCCTTTTCACATTTTAACTTTTCTAAATTGGGAGATGTCTACAGTGGAAAGGATTTTTCTTTTCTTTTTCCTTCCAGAAAAGGGATTATTAAACCAACCGATGACATGTGAAAATCAAGGAAATAAGTTATTTTTCATGCTGTGGGGTACCCACCCCCACACGGTGCCTGAGACCTGCTCCCTTCACACTCCATCAGCCATGTAGATTTTCATCATCTCTTCCAAGTTTTGCTGATGCCTTGGTTTGTCAAAGCTCTTCC